GATGAGATTACGAAAAAAATTTGTTAAAGATTTTTTGCTCTAACTCTTCAAATAAGAGGTGGGGGAAGGTTCAAACTTGTCAGGAACAAAAGTTATATAACTTTTTTGTTTTTCAACCGATTTAAATGAATCTGGTGTCATTTGAAAGAGTTTTTTTCTGTTTAATGAAATGCATAATAAAAATGACAAAATTAAATTGTTTTGTTGCCGCTAGGGGGCGCTGTGTCTAAAAGTCGACAATTTTTTCTAGGAAATTTCAAATATATTGATGCTTTTTTTATAATTTAGATGGAAAGAGGATAAAAAAATAAAGAAACTGGTGAAAACCGCAAGTCTGAATCTTTATCCTAGCCCAAAATTATAAATAAACAAATATTTTCAATAAGAACATTTTCAGAAAAAAAACCATCTTGTTTTCCTTTTGGGATGAAACAAAAAAAATCCTATTTTTTAACGGCGGTATAAAATTAGTAAAAAGAAGAACTAATTGTGTGTCTGAAAGTAGCTACCAATCCACGATATCAAGAATTGAAATTGAATTGAACTATAGTTATTTAAATTCCAAGTTCAGAATACCTGAATAGTTGTTTACATTCCGAGCTGCGAAAGCGTACTTTCTGAAGCGCAGCCTCGGCTATTTGAATACCTCCGAGCACCTAATAGGACTTTTGCAGCGTGTAATGTATTAAACTTTTCATCCTTTCCCCTCAAAAATCGCGAATAGGTATGCGAAAGTGAAACATGCTAGTAGCGAAAGTGAAAGTAACTACTAGCATGTTTCACTTTTGCTTTCGCTCGCTTATGCAAGATAAAAAAATCTACTTTTGTAGGGGGGAGAATGAAAAGGACTTTTGCAGCGTGTAACGTATTAAACTTTTTATTGTTCCCCTCAGGAATAGTATATTACATATCGAGGTGGAAAGTGTTTAATAACTATCGAAAGATTTCACAAAGGTTAAACCGAGGCGCAGCCGAGGTTCAATCTTAGACTATGGTTTAATTTAAATCTCGAGACAGTAATGAAACTTTTAACCAAGGTTGTATACTATTTTATTTACAATCATTGGAATTTTGTAATTTTTATTTCAATGAAAACTGAAAAAATACAATAAATTTCAACAATTTCATACTATTCTATTTTGAACCATTAATTATTGGAAAAAATAGGGTAAAAATATGACAAAAATTGAATTTCGAATGACAGTCTGACACCGACTTTGGCATCTTATTAAATTTCAACAATATAAACACATGTGACATCTACTTCTAAATACAAACATTGCACCTGGATTTGTGTTAAGGTGAGATAGAACAATTTATCAGGGCCGGAAGTGAGTTCTGCAGACCAAAGTGACAGGAGAACAGTCACTTCCGGTCTGCTTTAAAGTAAACAGAAGTAAAATGACATTTTCAAATCTCCAAACCAGTAAGGAATGCATTAATTACATATATGGTTCAAAATAAAATGGTTTTTATCTTGAATAGTTTAGCGAAAGTGGAAGTAATGACTAGCTTGTTTGACTTTCGCGTTCGCTTGCCTATTCAAGATAAAAAAAATGTTTTCCTGAGGAGAACAATGGAAAGTTTGATACCTTACACGCTGCAAAAGCCCTTTTAGGTGCTCGGAGGTATTCAAATAGCCGAGGCTGCGCTTTGATCCGTCTCGGCTATTTGAATACACGCACCTAAAAGTAAGCTTTCGCAGCTTGAAATGTAAATATGTAACTATTTAGGTGTTCGGAGGTATTAAATACACCTCTCACCTAAAAGTAAGCTTTCGCAGCTTGGAATGTAAATAACTATAGTTCAATTCAATTTTAATTCTTGATATCGTGGATTGATAGCTACTTCCAGACACACAATTAGTTCTTCTTCTTACTAATTTTATAGCGCCGTAAAAAAGTGAGATTTTTTAATTTCATCCCGAAAAGGAAGGCAAGATGGTTTTTTTCTGAAACTGTTTTTATTGAAAATATTTGTTCATTTATATTTTGGGCTAGGAGAAAGATTCAGACTTGCGGTTTTCTCCAGTTTCCTTATTTTTTCATCCTCTTCACATCTAAATTATAAAAAAAGCATCATTATATTTGAAATTTCCAAGAAAAAATGGAAAATTGTCGACTTTTAGACACAGCGTCCCCTAGCGGCAACAAAACAATTTAATTTTGTCATTTTTATTATGCATTTCATTAAACAGAAAAAAAATCTTCCAAATGACACCAAATTCATTTAAATCGATTGAAAAACAAAAAAGTTATATAACTTTTGTTCCTGACAAGTTTGAACCTTCCCCCACCTCTTATTTGAAGAGTTAGAGAAAAAAATCCTTAACAAAATTTTTTCGTAATCTCATCAAGATTTCAATAATCATATTTTTAAGATACCTTAAGTGGGCGTTTTTTGAAGATAATCACAGTATTATGTTTTCGAGTGTTCGTTGCGCCCCCTAGCGGTCAACTTACATACTTGAAAACTATTTCCAGCAATTTTTCATGGCCTATTTTATGGAGAAAATTTTTACTTGGAAGCTCTAGGACTTATAGTTCCTGAGATATAGCCGGCGATCTTTCTTATTTGGACACCCGGTACATTGTTCATGTATTTAACAAAAATCGTTGTAAACAACACAGATAAAGAAGTAAATTAAAACTTAAGGAATTATGTGCTGTCTTTTTGTACTGAGATTTTGATTTTGCGTATTCAGAAAGTGCATTAGGGTCTTGTTGAATTCACTAACATTTTCCTACCCTGACGAGCACATTGGCGGATCCACGGGATTGGAGGGGGGTTAAATGGGGTAATTACCCCCCCCCCCCCAGAGAGGCGTAAAAAAATTTAATTATTGAAAAACCCACAAATTATTTTTTGCTTGAAATGCATTTTGGGCATGGCACCTGATAAAAATTTCAGCCTCCGGCGGCATCTGCTGTGGGCTTTACATACTTGGTCCTACTTTGGGTGTGAACTAGGGTTGCCAACCGTCCTTTATTTCAAAGGACAGTCCATTATTTTAGAATAATGTCCTTCGTCCTTTTGAAAGGTGCTAAAGGGCGGCAAATGTCCTTTAAAATCCGGAAATATAAATAAATGCATTTATTTTTTTTTTTGAAGTACCGCCTCCATCATTCATCACATAGTTTATTTACAAGCCTGTGCCAAAACTACAATGCAATAAAAAATGTCCCAAAGTTGGCAACATTGGAAAAATTTTGGTAAATCCCCAAGCTCAGAATTTGAGATGAAATTTAATATCCTAAAAATGTTATTTGGAAGGAAGCTAAAATTGGATGGTTTTCGAAGTGGTACAGTGGCAAAGCCTGCCATACGTCCCGTATTCTCTGATATACTTATGTAGGTATTTTTCATTTTTAAAAAGAATCAGATAGATCGACCATAAATAGTAATTGCGACTTAAAAAAAAAAACTCAAGATCCTGTATTTCCTTATAGACCCTGAGATAGGGCCTGTTTAGTGGAGTCATTTTTTTTCATCTAGCATTTTGAGGGCTGAATGTGGCTAGTTAGCTGATGAGAATATAAGTGGTTTCAAAACCTGCTCCCTCTTCGAAATATCCATAGAATGTTTTGCGGATTTGCTCGATTTCGAACTGTGATTACAGTCTGGCGATTTTTTAGCGTTATTTTCACAACAAAACCTTTTATTCTCTCGATTGCCAGACAAAAAGTAAACATGGAAGGTTCTTTTCTCTTGGAAGTTAACACTCATCCCCACTTTTTCAGCTATTGAAAAGCATCTTGTATTTTTTATTGGTGAATTATTTTTCAATGTCAATCTTTAACTTAAAAACCACAACATTCGAAATCATTTAAAAAAAAATTCTTCATGTAAATCAAATTTTTTCTTCTCCAAATTTCCGAACGGGTGGCACGCATTAAAATCACCTATATTCTCATTAGCTAACTAGCCACATTCAGCCCTCAAAATGTCAAACAAAAAAAATTACGTCACTAAACAGTCTCTATCTCACAGTCTATTACCTCCACTCTATTGGCAGCGCTGTTTTCAGGCCTCCACTATGTTATTCTAGATTTTTTTCTAACAAAATGTTTAAATTAAAGATGGTTTTTGTTGTTACTCAGGTAGGTATGTTACCTATCTACCTAAATAGAATCGCCGGAGTAGATAACTATTGGACATTAACGTGAAAAACCAAAAAATCGGGCGTGGTTCTTAAAAAAATGTTCGCCTGCGGCGCTTTTTTTTTTAAATGTATGTAGGTAGGTACAGAAACCTCTGCTTCATGACAGAAAAAAATATGGTAGCCGTCACTGGCACCCTCAATGGTGTAGCACCCAAAAAATTTTCAAAACGTGTCCTGGCAACCCTAGTGTGACCTCCTTCAACTATAGACCACGAGTTGTTACTGATTGAGAAGCTCTACCCCCCCCCCCCCCCAGGATGGTGCTCTAAATCCGCCACTGGACGAGCAAATATCCTACCAAACAGAGGAAAGAGATATTGGCTCAAAATAACAACTATAGCTGGATAGCGTCCCGTATGGGACCTCAGTACCCTCCGGCAGACCGGCTAACTAACAAAAAACTCTTCAGTATTGATTTCCTGGAAATTCTGTCCCAGTATACATTATCCCACAATACAACCTTATACGCTTCTCGAAATTTTCTGAATTTGAAAAAATATAAACAAATACTAGCAAAAAATATCCTTAATTCACCTTCAAGACACCTTCGGGCATAATTATCCTCAAATTCAGGACAAACTATTAGATATTACTGGGATAAACTATGCCCAACACGTGGTCGTAAAAAAAAACTTTGTCACTTTCATGCTTACACTAACGAAAATCCCGCCATATTCAAGACTCTAACGGCCAATGCCAACGTTATATCTAATGCTCATATATGAAGCAGTTGACACAATTTTTTTCGGAATTTTGAGCGATACCGGTGGCGGACAATTTGAATTGTCCCACTATACAACAGCTTCCCCTTATTTCTTTACTGTAATATTATCTCTAGGTGGTTGGGCAGGTGGCAACGCCACAAAAGACCTAGCGAAAAGCCTAAACTTGATGTGGACTCAAAGCGTATGCAGCAGCGCCATCGCAGCATCTCTAGCCTCCAACTACCTCAAACAAGGAGGAATCCTACAACTTACTGGTGCCAAAGCTGCTTTGGACGCTACACCCGGCATGATTGGTTATGGTAAGTGATTTAAAATCATCAAAATGTTGTTAATATAAAATATAAAACAATTAAGGTGTTGCCAAAGCAGCAGTTCATCATCTCACAAAATCATTGGCGGGTAAAGACAGCGGACTCCCATCGGACAGTACTGTTCTGGCTATTTTGCCAATCACCCTCGATACGCCTATGAATCGGAAATGGATGCCCAAAGCTGATTTTTCCACTTGGACGCCCCTGGAATTCATAGCTGATTTGTTTGTTAAATGGACCAAAGGTGGCGATCGGCCAGTTTCTGGCAGTTTGCTTCAGCTGGTTACCAAAGATTCTCAAACCAGCTTAATTCCAGCTTGAATGTTTTGATAATAATGATGTTGTGGGGTCCAATTGGAGTTATTATAATAAATGTTGCAATTTGTATTTATTTGTTACGTTAATAAATGGCTTGATGCATTATTAGGTAGTTTTTTTTTTCAAAAATAGTCCACAAAACTTATAATCATTTATCAACTCAATATAGTTCTTTATAGTTTTTTTTTATCAAACCTCTAATAAACATGTCTAGTTTCCCACAAATTACAATCAAGAAAATTATACATTGTAAGTTCTTTATTTTCCAAGTTTGATGTTTCACTTTGTAACTCACATATTGACGATGGATAAAATATTTAAACATTTTCCAGTCGATTAACCTGGAAAAAAATTCAAAGTTTCTTGTGTTCAATGTGACTCGATTCCAACTTTCTAATCTCTTGGCCCTTTCGAGTCGGAGTTAATAAAGTCCCCATTGTACGTATGTTCTTTATTGCAACTCTAGATCCGAAATTGAAGCTCTATATTAGAGGGGGTCACTATCCCAAACAATGCAATGAAAGGCCCTTTAGGGAAATAACTTACATGGGGATATTCGGGTGTAGAGCAACAGGAACTGGGAAATTGAATTTTGAATTATTAATTTTATTCATTTGTGAATAATTGGACCATACTTTTTCTATATAGGTTTTATTAATTTGAGTTTTTTTATTAGGGGTTTGTTGTCCTTGAAGTTTTTCATAATGGAGTATCCCTTAACAAATAATTCCTCAAGTGACAAGAATAAATTAACGTTGCCGAATACAATTACCATAAAATACAGAAATTACCGGCATCAGAGAGAGAATAATACAAAAGTTGAAGTTTGCCAAGCGGCCACGAATTTCGAATGCAGTACATGCAATTCGTCTAAAAGCAAAGAGGTCCTATAACTAAAATTTATTTTTGCATATCATTCAAACGAAAAGAAATCAAAAACCTATCATTGGTTGTTGACGATTTGCACCAATCAAAAACGCTCTCTGCCTGGTTTGTGATTTCTTTGAAAACAGACCTATTGTATTTTTTTTTTTTAAAATATGCCAAGCGGTAAAGTTCCTATCCTCACGTAACATTGTACAAAGTAATTTAAAGGCGTAATTGCGTAACCGGCACGGGGAAATGTAATCTCATCCAAAACCGTTTCCGCAATTCCTACATACGTTTGCCGTGCTGGAACCTAATTTTCGAGCAATTTCGACTTCGAATTAGTTTAAGAACTTGTCATTTGCATAAAACTTTGCAATGTACCATGATGGATCGGTTCAAGTTTAGGTTGTAAGTAAGAATAATCGTTGGCTAATTATAATTTTACCCCTGAATCTTTAAAAAAAATTCTATAGGGAATTAAAAGGTAGTTATTTTTACGGATTATAGCCTATCAGAGAAGAGATTAAATCGATTTTACTGTTAAATCCAGTATTATCAGGCCTTCATTAAAGCAGTGAACGTATACTTTGTTTCATCAGACGTGTATTCTTTTTAAAATGATATGTCGAAGTTCAAAAACGTAATCTCAAATAAATTGTATTACCTATAAAGTCAATAATGTTTCTATCGATATGTGCAACTTTTAAAAGTCGACTACCATTCAAAATCACGCCTGTATACGTAGATTTTATGAGGGATTTATCAGTATACACGATATGGATTTAACTGCAGGTAACGGAAAAGAACAAAAAAATCCAATTTATTTGGTCGAATTGTGTGTATTGTTCTAAACTATCGATCAGTAATTTTTCGTGCCAGTTATTTTTTATGTTCGGGTTGTTTCGAAAATTTACGATCCAATTCAATAATGCTTGTTGAAAACAATAATAATGATTCAAATTGAATTTTTTGATTAACATTATTTTTTATGGATCCTCTAAGCCACTACTCAAATCCGTCATAATTAGACATAAATCTATCAACATTACGCCACTGTGTTCTTAGAAATTGCTGAAACTGACAAGCCTTTGCTCGCTTCTTGGATGTTCAAGTCTTTTGTAGGGTACGTCTAATCAACATCACTTCCATTTCATGCCAATTCCGGACGCTTTACACAATTTAGACGTAGCTTAAAATCCATTGTTTGTGCTAATTAAATTCAAGATAATGAAATATTGATGGATTTTACTATTGACTGTCGATGACAAAACAATATGTCCATAAGTGCAACTAGGCTCCAAATTTGAGGGGTGCATTTTTTTTTTTTTTTTTGTTGGGGTTTGATGGAATGAAAATGAGACGCATAAAAAAAAGTTAGTTTCATGACGGTTTGTACTTACGTCATCATTTGCCTTTTTTTTTTGAAAAATAAGTTTTTTTATGTCTGAAATTTCAAACAAACATATAGTTCGTTGCACGGCACGAAGGTTTTTACTTACGTCATCGATGACGTCATAACTTGGAGAAAAAGTTAAGTCATAGATTAATTCATAGAGCACCTTCGAAATTATTGTTTTGTAATACATTTTCAACTTAGAATAGAGTTTATTCAGTTATCCGAAAATATATAAATAAATTTCTCCTGGAGTGATTTTTCACTGGAAGATTTTGAAATTTTCCTCTAATGAGCTCCTCACTTTCCTCTTTCTCCTGTAAAAATTTCAAAATTTTTCCGTTGCCAGTTTTTCAGAAAAAAATTAAAATGTAAGAGGCTGAATTTTCCTTAATTTTGCCTAAATAAGTCAATTTTCTTTGAATTTTTCCTGGAGTGATTTTTCATTGGAAAATTTTGAAATTTTCGTAAAATGAGCTCATCATTTTCCTCTTATTCCTAAAAAATTTTCAAAATTTTCCCTTTGATAGTTTTTCAGAAAAAAATTAAAATGTAAGACGGTGAATTTTCCTTAATTTTACTTGAAAAAGTAAATTTTTCAGAATTTTTCATGGAGTGATTTTCACTGAAAAATTTTGAAATTTTCCTATAATGAGCTTCTTACTTTCCTTTTTGTTTTGAAAAAAATTCATAATTTTTGCTTTGCCAGTTTTCCAGAAAAAAATTAAAATGTGAAAGGATGAATTTTGCTTGAAAAAGTCAATTTTCCAAAACTTTCCTCTCGACTTTCCTTGGAGTGATTTTTCACTGGAAAATTTTGAAATTTTCCTATAATGTGCTTCTCATTTTCTTCTTTCTCCTGGAAAAAAGTTTTGCTTTATTAGTTTTCCAGAAATAAATTGAAATGTGAGAGGATGAGTTTTCTTATTTTTACTTGAAAAAGTCATTTTTTCAGAATTTTTCATGGAGCGATTTTCCATTGGAAAATTTTGAAATTTTCTTATAATGAGTTCCTGAATTTCCTTTTTCCTCTTTTGCCAGTTTTCCAGAAAAAAATTGAAATGTGAGAGGATGAATTTGCCTTAATTTTACTTGAAAAATTCAATTTTCCAGAATTTTGTGAGTGATTTCTCACTGGAAAATTTCGAAATTTCCCTATAATGAGCTCCTCACTTTTCTCTTTTTCCTGGAAAATGTTAAAAATTTTCCCTTTGCCAGTTTTCCAAAAAAAAAAAATTTAAATGTGAAAGGGTGAATTTTCCCTAATTTTGCTTAAATAACTCAATTTTCCAGATTTTTTCTAGAGTCATTTTGCACTAGAAAATCTTGAAATTTTCTTATATTGAGTTCCTCACTTTCCTCTTCCTTCTAGAAAAATTCCACAATTTTTGCATTGCCAGTTTTCCAGAAAAAAATTGAAATGTGAAAGGATGAATTTTGCTTAAAAAAGTCAATTTTCCAAAACTTTCCTCTCGACTTTCCTTGAAAAGATTTTTCACTAGAAAATTTTGAAACTTTCCTATAATGAGCTCTTCATTTTCTTATTTCTCCTGAAACAATTTCACCAGTTTTGCTTTATTAGTTTTCCAGAAATAAATTGAAATGTGAGAGGATGAGTTTTTCTTAATTTTAATTGAAAAAGTCATTTTTTCAGAATTTTTCCAAGAATGATTTTCCATTGGAAAATTCTGAAACTTTCTTATAATGAGCTCCTGACTTTCCACTTTTTCCTCTTTTGCCAGTTTTCCAGAAAAAATTGAAATGTGAGAGGATGAATTTGCCTTAATTTTACTTGAAAAATTCAATTTTCCAGAATTTTGTGAGTGATTTCTCACTGGAAAATTTCGAAATTTCCCTATAATGAGCTCCTCACTTTTCTCTTTTTCCTGGAAAATGTTGAAAATTTTCCCTTTGCCAGTTTTCCAAAAAAAAAAATTTAAATGTGAAAGGGTGAATTTTCCTTAATTTTGCTTAAATAACTCAATTTTCCAGATTTTTTCTGGAGTCATTTTTCACTAGAAAATTTTGAAATTTTCTTATATTGAGTTCCTCACTTTCCTTTTTCTTCTGGAAAAATTCCACAATTTTTGCTTTGCCAGTTTTCCCCTGCGTTGGTAAGGTGAAAAATTATATCAAATATGGTAAGGTGGGGTATAAGATACCCCATTTTCTTTATATAAAAACCTGAAAAATATGGATATTTTTGTAAAGTAATATGTTTGGATTTGTTGTTTAGATGCTAAATAACTAAAAATTGTTCACAAAATATTTATAAATAAAAAGTCAAGAACCATTGTTAAAACGGTTTTATTGAATGAAGACAAAATACAAACCAAGGTGACATTCCCAGGAACAGAAAATAAACCAAAATTCTCACTTAAAACTTAAATTGCCTTTTATTGATAGTACAAATTATTAAAATTATATAGTGGTGCACAAAATGTTACATGTTTTCTTGCCTATCCAATGCCTTACATCCATCACAAATTTGGTTTCCATGTTCCATGCATATGAACCTCGTGCACAAAGTACAAGTATAAAATGACTTCCAATATTCCTTGCTCCATGTCTGAGTTGTCTGAGCGCTGACTGAGTTGATCCTGCTCGCTGCCAGTTTCGCTGTCAACAGGTTCTTCATTTAGCGGCTCATCAGGACCATCAGGTGAGTTTTCGGCATAATCCCAAAGTTTTAGCAATTCTGCTTGCTCTCTTTCATACGGCCCAGTGAACTAAGAGTATTTGTGAAGTAAAACAAAAACAATCTTCCTAAAAATAAATAAAATCACCTACCTTAACGACTTATGACATAACAGCAGTAAAAATCACGAATTCGGTAAGGTGGGGTAT